ACCCAGAGATCTAAGGTCAGAAAGGGCATTATGACATTTTCCACTGAGCAATTAAAAACAGCAAAAAAAAAAAAAAACACATATTTTACATAGATAAAGCCCTTAGTAAGGTGTGGGCTATACTTGTGAGAACAATGTTTTGTATTTCTTTAAGGCACAGGCTACCAGGAATCTCTTTAATGCATCTATTGGAATCTTTTCCAATCAATCCAAGGGCTCCAATTACAACAGGGATTGTTGATGTTCTCATGTGCCACATTTTTGAGATTTTGATTTCAAGGTCCTTGCATTTTGATAGCTTTTTGAAGATCTTCAAAGATACATTGCAGTCTGCAGGGACTGCCATATGAATAAAGAGGCAATTTTCTGTTTGTGGTCTCTAATAATGATGTCTGGGCAATTAGCTTTGATTGTTCTGTCTGTGCGTTTTGTGTAATCCCATAAAATTGTTATAGATCCTATCTCTGTTACTGGGTCTGGATGGTTTTGTACCAATTTCTTTCAGTTTCCTTTCTGTAGAAGTTGCAGATTTTCCAGAGCAGATATTGGCCCACTCTGTCATGCTGTGTTTTATATTCAGTGGATGTGAATACCTTGCAACCTGATACAAGATGATTAATTGTTCTTGGATGTTTATCTCAGAATATGCATTTTGGGCAAACTCAATATTTAGTGCTTGATAATTTCTAGTTAACAAGCATTTGTCTTGTGCAGCAAGGATGAAACTTTCTGTTTCAGCTTTTAACCCTGAACTATATAGCTACTGATAGGCACGGGGCTTGTCTACATCAGCTTGTTTGGTACAAGCAGACTATTGACCATAAAGTGTTTTGTTTTGCCATTGTTTCTGTATCTGGTCGGTTGCATTTGCTGTCTTTTTTAAGTATTTTGCAGCTTCTTTATTACTATTATTATTATTATTATTATTAAGAAAGAGGAAAAACCAAATTTTTTTTAAAAATGTCTTTTGTTATAATATTAAATTTAATTTCCTTTTGCTTTATTTTACAGATGTCACGGCTAAAATATTTTAGGAATTTGAATGGATCATCACTTCTTTCTTGGTGACTTGAAATATATAAACTTATAAAAAAATGTGTGAATTTTGTGGATTCAAATTTGAAAACACTTCTTGTGAACTTTCCTTTTTAAAAAAGTTATATTTTGTAGAGCATATCTCAACATGCTGCAAAAACATCATAAGTGAATATCTGAACCTTTTACATTAATATCAGGGGTAGCAATTGTAAAACATTGGAGAGAAAGAAAGAGGCTGATTCTTCTATTTTTCTAAGGTAATACTTGCAATTATGAACTAGAAAGAATTTATATTTATTTGTAGAATGCAAGAAAGGAGGTACATCTTTTCCAAAAATATTTAAGAACTTACTTTTTTTGTTTTGTTTGTTTGAGCATCAAAGAAAATATGGAAAACTACCCAGAAAAGAATTTTCCTTTTGAAAATTGTACCGGTGAATTATTTGATAGTGCAGCATTAAAACTTCAATTAAAAACTCATACTGGAGAAAAACCATATTCTTGTGAAGTATGTGGAGCTTCCTTTTCACGGATGGCACATTTGGTGGGACATATCCGAACACACACTGGTGAGAAGCCACATTCTTGTGAAGTTTGTGATTCTTCCTTTACACACAAATCAGATTTGGTGGTGCATATGCGAACACACACTAGAGAAAAGCCATATTCTTGTGAAGTGTGTGGATCTTCTTTTTCACAACACTCACATTTGGTAGTGCATATGCAAACACACACTGGAGAGAAGCCATATTCTTGTGAAGTGTGTAGCTCGTCTTTTTCACGGAAATCTACTTTGGTTGTGCATATGCGATTACACACTGGAGAGAAGCCATATTCTTGTGATATGTGTGGCTTGGCTTTTTCACGGAAATCAGATTTGGTAATACATGTTCGAATACACACTGGTGAGAAGCCATATCCATGTGAGGTGTGTGGCTCTTCCTTTTCACGAAAATCACATTTAGTGGCCCATATGCAGACACATACTGGAGAAAAGCCATATTCTTGTGAAGTGTGTGGTTATTCTTTTTCACAGAAGTCAAATTTAAAAAAACATATGCAAACACATAGTGGAGAAAAGCCATATTTATGTGAAGTGTGTGGTTTGTCATTTTCACGGAATTCAGAATTGGTGACACATATACGGACACATACTGGGGAGAAGCCATATTCTTGTGAAGTGTGTGATTCTTCTTTTTCACAGAAGTTTGCTTTGGTAGTGCATATGCGATTACACACAGGAGAGAAGCCATATTCTTGTGACATGTGTGGTTTGTCTTTTTCACGGAAATCAGATTTGGTGATACATGTTCGAATACACACAGGAGAGAAACCATATACATGTGAGGTGTGTGGCTCTTCCTTTTCACGAAAATCACATTTAGTAGCTCATATGCCAGCACATACTGGAGAAAAGCCATATTCTTGTAAAGTGTGTGGCTATTCTTTTTCACAAAAGTCAAACTTAAAAAAACATATACAAACACACAGGGGACAAAAAACATTTATATTGAGTGTGTAGTTTGTCATTTTCATGGAAATCTAAATTTGTGGTTTCATGCAGGACACATTCTTGTGAAGAGTATGATTCTTTCTTTGCATGCAAATCAAATTTGATGTAGAATATGCAATTTTATGAGCTGAAAAAATGTTGTTCTTCCTTTTTCCTGATCCCGCTTGGAAGTAATTTGTTTTTAACTTTCATTTTTAAACAATACGTATCTGAACAAACCTTGAATGACCACGGATAAAAACTGTTATGTAAATACATTCCCTATTGAAATTATCAATAAAGGTGAGAAAAATCATAACACTTACCTCAATTAAAATTCTGCAACAAAATTCGATATGTGAGGATGCCCTCCAATTCTTTTGCAGTTATTCAAACAGAGAACTTTTGTATGTTAGGTTAATATAAACAATTTCCTTTAATTTATCTACCCTACAACACTATTTCCATATCTATTATTTTGATTCATATTAATGTATCTTCATGCAACATTTTTCCTTAAGGTATTTGATAATATTTCGAGGTCATTGATCAGCAAATATAGATCTTGGTTAATTTCTTCATTTACATAATATAAAATAATCAATCACAAATATTTTACTTTTTATTCAAATGACTCAAGATTATTATGTTGTGATTGCTACATATTTTTTTTTTATGAGGATGGGTTTTTAAATGCTTGGATAAAAAAGGCATGCATATCATGTGGAAGCTTTTGGTCACTATTTTATAAGAATTGGAGATAAAACACCTCCAAAGGTTTATGCAAATATTTTGAGAATTTCTGGAAATAAGAAAAGGCAGAGTTCTCTCTATAGAATTAAAGGCTAATGAATTCTTAAATTTTGTGTGTTATTCAAATATGTATATTAGTGAGTTATTTTTGTTAAATATGACTTGTTTTATCTATTGAGTTAAAGGCTAATGAATTTAGTGTTGTTCAAATATGCATATTAGTGAGTTTTTGCTAAATATGACTTGTTTTCTCTATTGAATTAAAAGTTAACGAATCTCTAAATTTAGTGTATTATTCAAATATGCATATTAGTGAGTTTTTGTTAAATATGACTTGTTTATGAAATTTTTCAAAAATAAAAGTTCACTTCATATTTGTTCATTTTTTTGTTGTATGGAAAAGCAATGCTTTTTTTTAATCAATTATGTCCATACTTTAAGTTCATTTAAAAAAATATGACATTTACTTGGCCCTGTGATGATATTTCTATCCCTTTCTTCAATGGTGAATCCTTTTTATAATGACAGCATTGAAGTATATAACTTTCCAAGATATGAAAGATACTGTCTATATTTCTGAAATGATGTATTATAATTATTTACACTATTTACATTGTTCAGACTGTTGTCCTTATCTTTCTTGCCATATTCACACTGTTTCAACCGTTATATGCTCCAACCTTCTTCAGGTGATTGGAATTTCAAACTGAACACTTTATTTCTTCCACCACATACACTAGGCTACAAAAATCTCCTAAGCCAGTCAAGAATAGAAATGAATATGATATAGGAACTAATAATATAGAGTGCTAGAGAAAAACAATAACAACAAAATTATAATATGAGCTCTGTTAAAAAAAAAAAAAGCAAATGGACTGAGATGGTTTATAAATCCTAAAAATTCATACACTGATTTCCTCAAAGACATTTGGCCCACTGGATAAAAGCATTGGTTGAATCCAGTGACTTGAGTTCAATACCTGGCTACAGCTGAGGTGAAGAAAGATAACTGATACTGTGACATCCTAAAGAGGCATGGCATGTAGAACTAGAAAAATCTACCCCCCACCCTGGACAAAATAAAGAGTTCACTTTAACACCTGAAACATGAATATGGCAACAAATATGAGGACAACAGTTTGAGCAATGGAAATAGTGTAAATAAGGCATCATCTCAGAAATATAGTCAGATTGGGAAGGAGGCTCCCAATCCAAAAGTATTATGGATCAGAACCAAAAATATCCATAACAATAATAATTTTGAAGTAGGCATAGATAAAATAAACTGTCACGACTGTTCCTTATATTGGGGAAACTTGCAGAAATGAAAAAAAAAAAACCTATCTGTGAACAGAAAAAGGATCTTATACACAACAGTTTATCAAATGCATTATTCATACATAGGAGCAAGTTCAACCACAACTTTGATCTAAAGAATGTACACTTATTAAAAGAGGGAGTAACTTACTTAGTTGGAAAATTCTTGAGAGTGCTGCTATTGAATTTTACCAAAATTGTGGTCTAGATTTTTCGAATCCCTTTGCCTAAAAGAAATATGCTTTTCTGAAGCCAACATACAAGATTATAATTTTTTTTTTTTTTTTTAATGAAAAGAAAACTTAAAAATTCACAATTGTATGGAAAGATGATTTGAAATGTCAATTTTCAGAATATATATGTTATGAACTTTTGTCCCAATTCAATATTTAGTGCTTATAGCCATATCACATTGAAACACTGGTTCTCATCCAGTCAGTGAAGTTAAGCAATGTCAAGCCTGATCAGTACCTAAATGGGTGACCATTTAGGAATACCATGTACTGTAAACTTGGAGATGTGAGTGGTATAATTGCTTGGAATGAGAATTCAGAGAACCAAGTTCAAATTCCAGGCAGGTTCATTAAATTGACTTAATGGAAATGTATGCATTCACCTCTTCACCCACATCTATGGGTAAAATATTAAAGCTTGTATGTTAAAATTATCATCATTTTCAAAAAATGTTTAATACAATACTTAACAAAAGAATTATTCTTACAACCTAAAAATGTTTCAGCTTTAAATAATTTCTAAAAGGTTGATAAACCACAAAATACTGATCAATATTTTGCTCAGTCTTATCTGTCCAGTTCCAGTAAATTTTAAAATATTCATTTAACTATTTCTGCTAATCACTCTATTGAGGGAGAAAATAATAAAATTCTATTTCTTTTATACAGTATCATGCATAAGCTGTAATGAAATATTCATGACAACAAAGTTACTTATTGAAATGATCTTGGAGTATACTTTTAGACAATGTCAGTGTAAGAGACACTTATAAATTATTGTTCCTTTTGTTTTCTTCAAATGATAAAAAACTAAAAAAGTTCTCAATAATTTCTTAAATACAAAAATATGTTTGAGAAAGAGCTGTACAAAGAATTGTATTTCTGTATTTACTTTTTCCAGTAAGGAATTAGGTAATTTGCAGTTTAAACCTCGCACACCAATTGTAAATAAAATTTCCATTTAGGTGTAATTACATGCTTATTTCGAAAATAACAACAAAATGGAAATTTTCATTATGTTTGGTGTGCAGGGCTTAAACTTCAAATTACCCAATTAGTCTTTCAAAGAGAAACATCTGAGAAAAATAATTAAATAAATGATTTTGTATATATTGTTTTACCTTATTAAAAACTCATTATAAAGTTATACAGGGTGTCCCAAAAAATTTGACATCATTTTAAAAGCAATTATCTTGAAAATTACTAAGTCTAGCTCAATGAAATTGAACAGTTTAGGTGTTGAACATCATAAGTTTATTCTGGGATTGATTTCATAAATGTTCAATATGTGCACTGCCTGTGACATGGCACACATCAAGTTGGTAGTTAAGCTCTTGCCAAACATGCTGTAGCATGTCTCCACTAACATTATCCAGTGCAGAAGTGATTTTCTGCTTGAGTTCATCAATGCTAGCAGGAAGAGGGTGGGACATAGAGCAGTTCTTTCACATATCCCCATAAAAAGAAGGCATGCTGCACAGTCTTGGGTGATTATGTGCAAGCATATTTCAAGATGCAAAATGACTTCTCTTTGGGAGTGAACAGCATGGATTAACCTGAAAACAGAACAAAAACAAAACATTAAATATAAAATCTTGATCTGTTTCTGTACATTCAGTGAAAATTTAAGGTTATTTCAACAAGAATTGCCAAAATTATTGGCCTGCGAAATGATGTCAAATTTTTTGGACACCCTGTATATTTTTAAAATATATTTTAATAGAAAATCTACCAATGAACATATCAATCTCTATAAATCCATATTTCTTATTACTATAAATCTTGATTTGCAGCTTGATTGATATTCACTGTTAACACATTGACTGCCAAAAAAATTAATTGTTAGCAGTTTTATTATGATACCAATTATGAGTTATCTTCTACTTGGCACTTTGATACATTTTTATCTGAGACTCCAACTGCGAGTTTATTCACACTGACAATGTGAAAACAATGTTAAGACTTCATTTGAAACTATAAATCAACTTATAAAATTTCATTGTTGACATTTAAAGTCAGATTTTTTTAATTGACCTCTGGCAGTCAAAACGGACATCTACTTAAATATCTACTAAATATAACATATTAAGAAATATTGTTGGATTAAAATAATCAGCTGCTTAAAATTATTCTCTCCATGTTTTGGCCATCCAAATAAAGTTACCAAATACAGACTTCAAAATGTCCCAACATGATATAGGCATTTCTTCAATAGGGTAGTTGAGCCATGCTTTGTCATAATGGCTTCTCATAGCTGAGAAATGGTTTTCCTAGCAGGTTTGCTCCTGCTGAGAGGTACCTTTTCTTTAGGACATCTCAATCTCTAGGATTGCTGACATTAATTTCACTACAAAAAGAAAGACATGTGTCTACTCAAACATGTTTGCCCATTAACCTTATTCCAGCTGGAGGAGAAAACTGTCAGTGATGGAAGTTTAACCTCATTCAAGAGCAAGAGTAGGCTATTTTCAACTTAAAATACTGGAAATAACATTTGACAATCGTTTATTTTTGAGGCAACAGAATGTGCGCACAAGTACAATTTTGTTGCCTTGTGTGGGTTGCTAAAAATAAACACTTGTCAACTGTTATTTCTGGTATTTTAAGCTGGAAATAACCTACTCTTGCTTTTGAACAAGGTTAAACTTTTATTTTGTAATGCCAATTTTCATTGTTCCCCCATGTCAATTTTGTAATTTTTTTTCATCTTCTGGATAACTCAAATGCTAAACTGAGGAACTGCCATGAAAATGATGGGGCATTCAAGATACTGCCACTTTCAGAATGACTTGGCAGAAATTTATCCTGGAAAGGAACATTCAGCAGATGGAAATATGAGTCCTTTCAAAGGAAGAACAAGCCTACTGATGTACATGCCCACAAAACCAACCAAGTGGGGCCTGAAAGCCTGGGGACTAACCAATACAAAAACTCGAAATGTACAATTGGCAGCTGTATTTGGGCTGTGAAACAGCTCAGGCACCAAGGACAGTTGTTATTGCACACAAAGTTGTGTTCTCCCTATCAAAGAATATACAAGACAGGGGATATGTAATTTACATAGATAATTTTTTTTTTTTTTTTTCCATCCTCTGCATTGTTTCATCAGCTAGCCTGACATGGAATGGGAGCTATGTGTGAACCGAAAGGATGAGCCAAACAAGATGAAAGAAGTGAAGTCCTCCTTCACGCACAGAGATAGACACGTTTTATATATTTGCTGGTATGTCAAAAGGCCAGTAAATTTGATGATGACTGTCCACACTGCAAGAGACCTTCAGAAAAGAGGTTTGGTCAAAATGTCATGAAGGTCATCCCAGGATTGTGTACAAGCCTTGTAATGGGCATGTGGCCGAGTGGTTAGAACGTTCACATTCCTACCATGAGATCTGGGTTTGAATCTCACCATGGTTGATTTGTCAGGAAAGAGACTTCCTGATGTTATCGAACTGGAGGGGTTGATCCCAGTGTGCGGCATGTTTTGAAAGTGCCTGAAAGCCATACCATAGTTGACCCAAGCCTTGTGAATGAAATTGGGTAGACAGAACCCTTGGGGGTTATCGATAGCTGCGCTAGCACAAAGTCACAAGTCATTCTGGTTGTTCAAATTGTTGATCATGCTAGATAACATGCTCTTTCCCAAAAACTGTAACTAAGGTCTGCTCAGCATAGTTGCAGTATAAAACACGGGTGTGCCCTGTTGATGTTGTATAAGCACAAATGTGCCTGAGAAAGTGTCTGCAATAGGGATTGGCTAGCCGTCCTAGTAGACAGGTATCCTCAAATAGAAGTGGCCAGCTATACAAGCCTTGTACTGTGCAATCCTACTCCCAGCACATGGTTGGGGTGGGGTAGACTGAGCTGACAAGCAGATAACCTACTACATGGTACTGCACCAATGTTCAAGTAGTGGAAAAATGTTTTTTTTATCTGCTTGAACTCTGCTTCTGCAATGCTCTGGTGATATGGAAAACCAAGTCGACTCACTGGGTCAATGCTGAAAAGTTTAGGCTGCGCATTGTTCATTCTCTGCTGGAAGACTATGAGTCAGGTGTGTCCCATAGGAAAGGTAGGAGGACTGAAGACCCCCAAGAAAGGCTCGTATTAACAGAACACCACCTTGTAATAAAAGTCAAGTGCCTAAAATGTGGCAGGCCTTCACACCCAGATCGTGGTGTTTGTTCCAACCTAGACAAAAAGTTCCCTGACTCAGTTCCGGTGCCCATACTCCTGCTTCCAGAGGTTCCACAGTCTGATAGAGTACAAGGTAGACTGCACCTCCAGAATTCCACAAGGAGTATGTTAAATTATGCAAAAGATAATGCCCTACATCAAAGTATTATTCATCCATTCTTAGTCTACAAAAAATCAAGTCTGTTCACACAATACAAAGAAAGTTATAACAATTTTAAAATTGTAGGTGCTCTTGTTTTTTGCACCCTCAAAAAATGCAGTGACAGAGGGAACAATTCTAGAGGAGTCTGGTGAGTTAAAATAAACGTTTATAAAAATAAGATTTTTTTATGAATCAACATTTAGCAAAGTGACTTGTTAATTTTTCAATTCTCATCTTTATTTTCACAGCTGCTAAGTGTAAGAGAAGAAATTTAATCAGACTGTGAAAAACTGTTCAATGCTTTCAAGTTTAATAAATTCAGTGTTAAAATTTGAACCAAACAAAATATATTAAATATTTGTATTACTAGAAATAGTGAGGAAAGCATCAAAAAATGTAAGTAATAAATCCACTAATCCAGAAATAGAAAAATATCCAAAAACTTCATAAACTTAAAAAAAAATTATTTAGAATTTCAATAATCTTCACTGCAGTATAACTACTTTGCTACAACTTTGACGAAATTGAAATCAAACTTTAGAGAATGTAAATATAAGTTGTGATAGGAAAACAAAACGTATTGTTAATTTAGTATCCACAACATGAGCAAAAATGATTTGAAATTCAGGTAATTGGTTTAAACAAAACTTGAAATTTTCTACAATCTTTTTTCTTCCTATAATGAGTCTTTTGTAAATTAATTTTCCATAAATGTAATTCTGACCAGTAAAAATTCATAGAAGGAAAATTATAAGGTTTGATTGTGAAGGAGAAGTCATAGAATATTTTTATGTAAAAATCTTGTGTAACGGAAAGAGGAATCTACAATCCTGACTGACTCTCTCATTCATTTCACACTAGTATCTTTGAAAGGGTGTAAATTCATATTCGTCCAACTTCAGGTTCTCTTGGATGACAGCCAGTCTAGGACAAGGAAAAT